ATAATATAAGAGAGAGAGAGAGTTGCTCAGCTGTGTAACAGAGTAGACGTTGGTACGGACGCGACTGTGTGGTGTTCCAGCATCTGTAGGAACGCCTGAGACACGCATTTCTCTTCCTCGCTCAAAGTCGTGTCAAGGTCCTTGAAGTGATTCGTTAGTCTGGCGAGGATGAAGAATGAGTCGTCCGTCTCTTCCCCATTCAGCTCTATCCATGGCATCTGTCCCTTTCTAGACCATCGCGGTCGTCCGTTGATGCCCTGCTCCGGTCTCTATACAGGGGGTCGAAATTATTTGCACCGTATATTTGTCGTTAGAAGAAACAAGACGAGAATTGATGGAGATACAGTATTTAAATTTGTATACTATTAGCATTGCTACTGTACATATGTATTACATGTAGATATAGATACATTACACGTGTGTAATAAGCAGACATGCATATGCTTACGCGGTCGCAGTTCCATAAGTTAAAATGAGCAATCAAACGTTTGGCCGTTTGTCTTTTGATCCCGTTGTTTTTCGAACCATAATTTTCTACGAGCCCGTGACCCGTGTGACGTATCTTTTTTCGCAAATTATATCATATATGTATATGATGAACTTATTTAGCAAACATAGATACATTCATAAACGCGCACTTATAGCCATTAATGTGCCGCAAAAGAACAGTAAGTTACAGAACAGACGCGCACTCGTGGCGTTGCGTTATTGCATCGTTGCAGCAATCGGGCGATCATCTCAGCAGACCAAGGAGCTACACATAACATATGTATATATAAGTTATAACACATGGTATATATATATATATAGATATATATATATATACATGGCATATACACATGGCATACATGGCCATATATATATGGCATATACATAATATCAGGAGTAAGATAATATAGGAATATCTATACTATAGGAATACCTAGGCTATATTATCTTACTCCTGATAATATTATAACACATGGTATAATATTATATATAGCTCCTTGCAGCAGACGACATCCACGTTCCTCACAGCGCGCGACACCTATCGGCCAAAAAGACATGATTCGCGCTCTCACCTCGTATTTCACTCCGGCCATGCGCATCCATGTTTCCACCTTTAAACCAAACGGCGACAGGTCGGGTATGACTCTGGGACGCGGGAATCCGTACAGATACACGACATCCTTCTGCCAGGTAGGCGTGAACAACTCTCTCGACTGGTTCGACATGACCAATCTAGCGTTTTTAAAGGCGAATATGTACGTAACGTAGCCTACCACCAGCAATAGCGTCCACACCCACAGAGGAAGTGCGAAAGCTGCGTCGATCAGCGCGTACATAACGAGGTTTAGTGAGATCTTTTAGGGAAAAATCCAACCACACCAGTCCTGTACTACACCCGAGCGACATACATACGTACGACCTTGATACGACGGACTATGCGCTCGGTGATAACATAGACGGCCTCTATTTGATGTTCTGCTGATCAATATCGCGCAATCGGCGTTTGTGCCTGTCTATGACTGGCTGCCCGAAAACGCTCGATCGAATCGATCGATCGAATTTAGCTCGGTCTGGTACGTGCGTCTAAACAGGAATTGCTCCGACCTGTGATTGGAGGACAAAAATAGACCCTGCCCACTCCCGCCGCATACGCTATGCTATGACGGGTAGGAACGTGTACTAACTATCATATGGAGCGAACGATTTGAGTTACATTTCTATAAATTATAGCTATTATAGACACACGTCTTAGCCTTAATCTCTGTGAATTTTGAGTCTATTGAAGCGCGATTAGTCTAATTAATTGGCAAATATGCACGCGCGGCTATGACCGGTGAAACGAAACGTCACGAATTCCATTTTTATCCTCCAAAAATGGAAAAGGAGCTCGACGCATGAATGTACACGCCAGAAGGACGCCAGACACGCGCAGAGCGCGCTGGACCAACGCCAGACACACGCGGAGCACACGCTGGGTATTCGTTGTATGTTTGTCGGCTGAGGTGTAGCGAACTCCTAGCGCACACCAAGCGTGCTTCTAACGCATGTCCAGCGAGCATGCTGCGAATATGGGCGTGCTGAACGAATGCTGAACGAGTCTGTAGCGCGCCCAGCGTTCTTCTAGCGTGTTCCTAGCGTGTACGCAGCGTGTAGCCATGGGGTATATAAACGGGTCCCGCCCCCACCTCCTCATCATCACTTCTCTTCCGACCCTCATGGGTGATGACAGAGGTTCCTGATGATCGTGTCTAGAAGAACCACCTCAGAAGATGGAGGATTCCGACAGGCTGCGAATACAATACGAAATCGCGGTTCTCCAACATCAGCAGAACCTCATGGAACTGGCACTTCACCAAGTCCATGTCATCAGGAGAAGGAGAAAGAGAAGAGGTCAAAGGAGATTCTGGGTCCGACCGTGGATCGGTAGGCGACGACAGTTTGGCCTGTATGACCAGCTACTTGTTGAACTCTGGAACGAAGACTAGGCAGCCTTCAAGAACTTCAGGCGGATGCCCCCCGAGATGTTCGACGAGCTGCTAACCAGAGTGGGTCCGAGGATCACCAAGCAGAATACAACCTACAGAGAGGCCCTCGACCCTGGCCTGTAGCTTGCCCTCACTCTGCGGTATCTTGCCTCTGGAACCAAGTATCACTCAATGTCTTGTGGGTGGAGGGTGCCTCACAACACCATATCCCTGCTCATCCCAGAAGTGTGCCAGGCCATCATCGATGAGTACAAGGATGTGGTGATGAAGTGTCCCACCACTCCTGAGGAATGGCGTGCCATATCTGACAAGTTCATGGAGAGGTGGCACTTACCCCCTACCCGTGGTGCACTTGATGGCAAGCACGTCAACTGCAAGTGTCCTCCAAACAGTGGTTCCCTATACTACAACTACAAAGGGTTCTACTCCGTTGTCTTCATGGCGCTCGTGGATGCTGATTACAAGTTCATCTGGGCAGACATCGGCGGTATGGGATCAGCATCAGACGCTCAGATCTACAATGCCTCTGAGCTGAATGAATGCGTTGAAGATGGTAGTCTAGGCTTCCCTGATCCCGATCCTCTTTCCAACGACAACCAGGATGTGCCCTACTTCTTCGTCGGTGACGATGCCTTCGCCCTACGACTCAACAGGATGAAGCCGTACAGCCTCCGGGGTATGACGTGGCCGGAGCGCATCTTGAACTACCGGCTTTCCCGAGCCAGGAGGGTCGTAGAAAATGCCTTCGGCATCTTGGCCAACCGTTTCCAAGTTCTCCTGAGCACGATGCAACAGCAGCCCGAGATCGTCAAGCTCATTGTCACCGCATGCATGCCCGCTGCCGTTCGCTGGCTGTGCGTTGAATGCGCGGACCATTCGTTCCGTGCGCTGGCAACACGCTGTGCATTCGTTGGATTTTTTAACGCGTATTTGCGCCCTGTATACGCTCTGTATGCGCTCTGTATGCGCTCTGTATGCGCCCTGTATACGCGCAACGCGCTAGCAACACGCTGTGCATTCGTTGTCAACTCACTAGCTTCTCCCAAATCCTGACAAAAGTTGGGCGCACAACGACGCACTGATCTTATTTTCCATTTTTTCAATGCGCGGGCCGTGCGTCACGTATGTGTGACTGGGCCATTACCTACTGTACTGGTTCGTTTCCCGGTAGTTTTTTTAAAACTCGGGAACAGACGCGAGGAACGCGTCTGCTGAAGGAGAGAATGTTCTGATCGGCGGAAATTGGATCTAATTAGTTTGGTCGCAGCAGCTCTTGGACTAGCGCGATCCAAGACGTACGGTCGATGCATTATTACTCAATATCTTATCAGTATAAGAGATCAAAGTTCTAGGGTGGTACTTGCTATTTACGTTATCATTATCATACATTCCTAGTTACCCTTATACGTTGATTGATTGATGTATAGATATTCATACTACTTGTTCAATAACTCATGGAATTATGGCGCCGATAAACAACCATATCGCGAATCCATTCCCACAAGCGCCATACTCTCATACTAAGCCATGCATTTCCATAAATCAGCCGGGATTTCGCGTAAAATTTATCTTGGTGAATGGCACTGATGACGTCTAAATTATATTATGAGGCTTAGAACAGAAACCAAGAGGTTGTGGCATAAGGCAATTAACGCGGTCCCGAGATACACCTCTATAAACTGACGAGTACAAACATACATGTATTCGTTAGTCTAAGAAACAGCCATCAGTCAATACTATCCCAGTATCTCCCGCGTGTCAGCTGAATAAATTTTTTTATGAAATTACAATGCCATGCCAAAAGAGAACATTTATTTTGTGTATGGGAACCCCACGCACCGTAACTAGCTTATTATTCCCGTTATTATTCCCGTTACTATCCCGTTATTAAACACGTTATTGCTATTACATAATATCAAGAGTACATAATAGAGATGTATAATACAGAGTATGCATAATAGAGATACATCTCTATTATCTCCTGCTATTATGTACTCTTGATAATATTAACGTGCTATATATACGTCTTTACTGTGGTATTTTTACGTTTCATTTCATCGTTGTGCGCAAGTATTTGCCGGTTGCCCGGTTGCTTTGCGTATATATCATCATCCACGCAGAGAAATTTATTACAATATAGCGTATACTGTTCACGTCAACATTGTTTATTCGCGTGAAATCTATGGCCGCATTCGATCTAACTCTAACACTACGGACTTCACCGTTAATTGTCGATTGTTAGACATTTTTGTTCTCACATTACGTAAAGAAGTGTAATGAAGTCCATAGTGTTGGAGCCGTAACAATAATACATAATAGTAAGTCTCTCTATTCGTGTCTATACGGCTAGGGGTGCGTTGGAACTCACGGTGCAAGCAATAGCAATAATTGCGCTCGCTAGATGGCGCGCAGATGATGAATCGGCCAGTATGTAAATGAGAACGACTTTCGAGTATTCTTGCGGTTAATCTTGCAATCAACGACGTAACGAGCGCGTTACATCAACAGGCCAGCGTACAGAAAATATAAATCCGTATTGGATACATAAGAGAGTCATGGTTAATGTGTTGGTTATCGATACTAATAAGTTAGACTTGTATTATCTGAAGTACGACTTTGCAGCGGCTTTCCCATGCAGTACGCAGCGAGCTCGTGCACTCTCTATATATTTGGCAATACGCGATATATCTTTCATTCAATGTGAGAGTAAAACATCGCGCAATGCTCACTAAAGCCCGGCGCATACGTGAGTTATTTTACTCAAGTAAAATGACGCATGAGTCAAATTACTCAACGAAAATCCGCCGCACACGT